TTGCTGAATGTCCCTTTGGGAGAAAGATCACCCCCCGCTGAGGACCCCTGGGCTAAAAGATGAGAACCACTAAGCTTTAACTCCCTCCCCCATTCCTCGGGGCCACAGGCCGTTAGAACAACCTCCCCCATTTCATCAGCATTATGCCATACTGTGCTTGTGGTGCTGAGAAACCAGGACCTTAACTTCCTTCACTAGTTAGGGGTCTTTATCTTCTCTGGATCCCTGGGCATTGAGAGCCTTAAAGGTTGTTTAGTTTTAACTTACATCTTGTGTGTCTGCCCATACTTTTGGAAGGAGGTTAATCCTGCTTCTAGTTCCATGCCTGAAACCAAACAGCTATCTTTAAAGTGACAAAAACACAGATAGACTCACCCAAATACTCGTGGTTAATTTACATATATACATATACAAGCATAGATACAGGCTCAGATGTGTACACAGAAACAAGCCCATTCACACAAATGCTATGCTCAAGCCTACACATATATAACCTCCCAGCACAGGCAAGGGCATTCCCGTCACCCATTCATCCACACTCAACACTGGCCTAAATGACTGTCTTCCCAGTTAGTCTGAAGGCATGAACCATACAATTTTGCTCACGGCTATGTCTCCAGGGCTGGACCCAGTGGCAGGCATGTAGCGCCTGTAAGGAAGCCCATGTTTTTTTTGGTTTTTCCCCCAATTTTTAAAAAACTTGTCATAAAATACATATAATGAATGGGCCAGTAATTATTTGCAGGTGAATGAATGACCATATTGCCCAAGCAGCAGACTAGCCTTGGGTTAACTCGGAGTATCATTTACAGCTTCCCTGGACTGTTCCTGGTTTCTCCCTAAAGCTGGAAATTAAGGCATGGGTTCTGGAGCTGGACTGCCTGGGTTCAAATTCTAACTCTACCTCTTAGCAGCTATGGGATTTTCTTCTTCTTCTTTTTTCCCAATTTCTTTCTGATTGATTTCTTGGCCTCTCAATCCCATGCTTTTTAGGATTTACCCACAATCTACAGTATGAAAACACTCAGAATTCTAGGATCACTTTCCAGGTAATTTTTCTCCAGGATTTCTGTTTCTCACAGCCCGGCTGCCTTATTACTTCTGAAAACGAATAGACTTTGTTCTGTTTTTGTCTTAGCTCCTATTACTATTAGGAATACCCTTGTTCATTTCTCTGTTCCTTGTTTATTGTCTTTCTCCTCTCCACCTCACATAAGCTCTATTAAGGTGGAAACTTATCAGTTTTGTATCCCCAGGGCTGGCAAGATACTTAGTATACAGGAGGTGCTCAATAATAAATAATGAATTGATGAGAAGCAGAGCTGGTCAAGTGCTAAACCTGGGGCTTTCTGGTGAGCTGCCCTAGAGGCAAGGGAAGGCCTGAATGGGAATGGGCCCTGCTCTTATTGGCTCTTTGTCCTGAGTCCAGGATGACATGCCTGCTGGGGCCCAACAAACATAAGCACAGAGCACTCTGCCAAGTGCTTCCACACTGTCATCTCATTTGAAACTCACATTACCTTGCGGGACAATCAGGACAAGGATTAGTGTCCCCAGTACTCCCAGCATAATTGAGAATTTCAAGGCTTAGAGAATACTTTCTTCAATAAAGATGGCCTTGCTCCCGGGAAAAGAATGCTAACAGCCATTTTTTTGTGTGTGATCCATCCAACTCTGGATGCTGGACCTACCTGTCCATTACAGACCAACTTCCTACCCTTTCCACACCACGGCCCCAGGTCCATCTTGAGAAGTGAACCTGGAGGGCTCTGCACTACATCAGTGCAACATCTAGGTCTCTGAATGTAGTGTTCAAGGCCCCTCTTGGCCCCTTCCTACTCTCTTCAGCCTCATCTTCCTCCACTCTCAGTCTCATGCTTTATACTCCATCAAGCACAACTGCCTTAAGTCCTACCTCCACCACGTTTCTTGCCCTTTACTTGTGAGCTTTGGCACTGACAGTTCTTGTTGCTTTTAACACTCTTCTTGATCTTGCTAAAACTCATGCTAGTTTCAAAGACTCACCCAGGCACCCTTCTCTCAAGTCGTCTAAGAGCTTAGATTCCCTCTTCGTAAGGTGATAGCAATTAGAAGGGATGACGCTTACACCTCAGCCTGAGCTGTCACCTTAGGAGTTTACCTAGAGACCACGGATGGATGGGTGGTTCTTCTCCAGGCTCTGCTTTTTAGTGCTGTGTGACCCTCCCTTTCTGGGCCTCAGTGTGCTCTCTAAAGGATGATCTGTGTAAGGTCCTCATGCATCTGAAATAACTCCCTCTGCACCGAGCATTCATTTCCACAATGTTCTCATTGGACTTACAATCAGCAACTCCCTCTCTTCCGGACTGAGGATGGGAGAGACAAAGGCCGTAGGATGCTGCAGTTACTTTTACAACCGTGCATGAGAGGCTGGGCCGGGGCGTCCAACCTCTGGGAGAGGACCGGACCCCGCTTCCCAAAGTCGCTGGGAGGGAAATCGGCGCCAGCAACGAGAGTTTCGGGTTTCACTGTGCGCGGGGCCATGCCACGTAGTCGCGGGACCGACCGCTGCAGGATCTGGGGGCGCTGCGCCCAGGGGTCGTGGTGGGGGGATATCTGGGAGTTGGGGGAGTCAGGGCAGAGTGGTCCGGCGGCCCGAGACTCTCAGAGTCACACCCAGCAGGGTCCCGGGCCGCTGGGCGCCACCCCCGACGTCGGGCCCAGGCCCGGCGCCGAGGCCCTGCGGGCGGACACTCACCGAGCCGCGGTACTTCTCCAGCGACACCAGCTTGCCCCGGATGTTGACCGCCTTGAAGTCGTAAAAGTCCTGCTCCCGCTGCGCGAAGGCCGCGGCCGCCAGGAGCAGCCACGCCGCCGCCAGTGCAGCCACCATGACTCGCTCCAGAGGTGGCGGCGTGGCGAGGGCAGAGACAGGGCCCGGACACCCGCGCGGGGGGCGGGAGGAGGCGGCCCGGCGCCACGCGGCCCGCCAGGCAGGACGCGCCCCCTTCTCCGCGGGCGGTGGCGCTCCAGGAATCC